ATATATATATATATATATATATATATATAATTGTTTTTAATTTTGTAAAAACTAAACTAGGCTATTACATAACTTGTAATTGTAATCTTGACATATTGACATCAAACTGTTCTTATTTGGTATATCTTAATTACATTTTATTTTCTTCCTTTTTCTTCAGTGTTAAATCTGAAACTGGATATTTTAACAAAAAAATTAAATATTACATATTCCTCTCTGTGTTTAAGAATTATTCCTTATAGTTTTAAAAAAGAAAGAGTCGTTTGCATATTGCAGTAAATTGTACTTGAGTGTTTTCAACTGTGTGTCTTTAAAATACAATTAACAGGAGTACAATGTTAAATAATTGCACAACAAATAACCTATAAAAAAAACAAGATCCAATCTTAAAAAGACTGCATGCTTTGGTGTTCTATGCCATCATCCTCAGGAGTTAAAGTTCAATCATAAATTATATACCTACATCAATAATTTACATACTTTTAGCACAATCTAGACTTAAACACACCAATGAGTTTATAAAACACATGTCCAGTACTTTGTTTCTTCTAAACTTGGACCAGCATCTTTGGTCAGTGCAATGTTTTCTTTTTTGGTTTCTATTGTTTCTCTTGTATTCGGTTCACACTTCAACCTGATTTATATATACCAGTTTAACATTATTCCAGTCTATAACATAAGATGTGCTTGCTACATATTCTGCTAAGGCTGGCTCATTTACTTTATATTTCTTTATCATATTTTTATGTTCCTTGATCCTAAATTTCAGCACATTTGGTCAAGGTAAACTTGACCACAGATACAAGGCATTTTATGAATCCCACATTTAACAGCTTTTTATATTTTATCTTTTATACCCATGAAATAATTATTTAACTTACAATGCAGAGAGATTGTTAAACTACAATCTATATATTTTTTTATTATGTTACTACTATTGTTGAGAAATCTTGAACATATGGCAAGCAAACCCTCATGTTATCAACTTTACCCTTTAACTTTGTACAGGATGATGTTTTTTATAAAATTCCCATGCTTTTTGTACAATTTATCAATGATCTTGGAATCCTAGCCTCTGTTTCTAGCTACATGTTTCAAAGAGATTAACTCTGTATGTTATCTACATACCTTTTTCATACCAAAGGAGTATTAAACATATTCATTTTGAATTTAAACATAAACAACTTGCTGGGGACAGGGGAGAACCCTTAATCTGTTTAAAGAATTTATTCCATACCTTAAAATAATCATTCAAAACCCACACTAATGGGTCAACATCAAGATTTCACTCTTTTCTAACAAAGAAAATTACTTGTTCTGTACAATCTATTTTCAAGATAACCAATTGCCTCTTTAACTGGAACATTTGCGAACAGTGACACAATGTCAAACGAAGCTAGTTTATCACTTGATTTCAAATTTGACCCTGCAATTTTGTTGGCATAACCAAATGAATTTTTGGTGGTTAAAAATGAACATTTTTGACAAATAAATTTTGCCAAAGAATGGAATGATAAACTCCTGTTATCCACAATTGGATGAAACAGAGTGCCAATTTTATGGATTTTAGGTAACACGAGAAACCTTTGTAAAATGTATCTTGAGAGAACAAGGTCCTTCCTTTCTTTCAGTGTCAAAGTAACACAATTTTTTACTACAGTTTTCAACCTATTATGGACCAAGGTAGTGAGAACCATCCTTTAACAATTCTTAACATTACTTAACGCATAATGCATACCTTCTGGGTGCAAATTTTTTCTCAGTCCTACAGGGCTATTTTAGCTGGAAAAAAAGATAATTTGCTGAACTTTTTTGCATTGATTCTCTCATAACATAACGGAGCTAAATCCAGGGTCTTCCTGAACCTACTGAAATTCTATCAATATAATATTCTGACAAGATTTGGATTTTCTATTTGTTTGTTTTGGGAAAAAATTACCAAAATGGCACCAGTAATATGTAAATGCAAATGTGCCAAGTGTGGAGTAAAGGGAAAATGCTCCAGATATGATGGCAAAAGCATAGAAAATGAAATGCAAAATGAGTTTTTTTTCTTGTGGTATACATTATTTTACAGACTTTTCATAATATACAAATTAATTATCAATTTGTAAATTTGCTTTAAGATAATCATTTTATTTTTAACATTTAGAGAGTAATTAATCTTTCTTCCCATTTTGTTTTTTAATCACACGCGCATTTGTGCTCTCCTTGTGTTACTTGTGTATTTTTCTTGGATATCTGACTTGATATAACTTTGAATTTCAAAGAATTTTATTTATACAATCATTCATGTCCCTTGGTTCTACACATTTCTTGTTATATTATAGTTTGGTAATTTTCTGCCAGTTTTAATGTACTTTTGAACTTTATTTATGTAAAAATATTTACATTTTTTCTTTGATGTCTCGTGTTTACTTGCCTCCCATTGATCTAGCACACATTAGCCTTGTGATAGGTTTCTGGATTTCTGAGCTGGTGAATCAGGTTTGAATCTGTCTGATACTGCAAAATATTCCCCCACATTTTAAGCTGTGGGTGTATTATAAGAATAAGAACCAGTCCCTTATTATGGGTGGTAGGGTGCTGCTAACTGGTTGCCTTCCCTCTTGTTAGTAATTCAAAATTAGTGACAGTGGCAGATAGCTTTAGTAGCTTTGTCGTAAATACTTAAAATATAATTGATCTTTATTTAGAGTTATCCAAATGAGTTTTGCTTATTACTTATTTACATCTTGGTGTTTCTAAACTTGTAGAAAAAAAAGTGTTATCTTCCTTATCCAGTGATCAATAAAAACATTTTTATACATTTGTTTGACCTGCTGTTTTAATTATAGTGTAACAACTTTTGATGACTTTACAGTTTGCATTGTCTTCTGGGCATACACTCTCCCCATGTCAGTTATGCACCATTCATCTGTTTTTTATTAACTAAAGAGGGTATTAGCATTAAGGCATTATCATCATAACATCTAATCACAACAAAAAGTGAATGTGTGAAACTTAAATAAAAGTTGTTGTTGTTGTTTTTTGGAATTTAATTATGTTTCTGTTTAGTAGTTATAAAAATTTTAACAAACATCTTCAATTTCCCTAATTTTGAAAGTTACATAATGGTCAAAATAAAATGTTTATCTTTCATCTTTATCCTATACAAAACTTTGGATACACAGTTTTGTATAAAGCTTGCATGTTGTTGTTCAGCTTATGGTATTACTTTAAGTTTTCTTAAGGGTTATTGACACTTATATGAATATAACGTCTGTTAAATTATCTCAGTAAGCTGATATCAAGTGTCATACTTGGTGGTAATATTGAGTGTATGCATCAATTTTTTTTTATGATGATAACTTCTGGTAGTTTTTCACAAATTCCTGTTCAAGTGAGGTTTAATATATCATTATGCTGTTATTATTATTCTATTTTTATGATCTAGTTATGGAAGAATGTTTGTGAAACAGTAACTTTAAATATATTGTAAGTCTTATACCAGCAATAGTGCATCAAACTGAATATTCTTAATTTATACTTATATGCATTTATTTTATCACTGAACTTTTAGTTATGTAGTTGTCATTACTCAGAACACTTTTAACTTTATTATTGAATTAGAATAGAAGTAAAAATGAATGTTATATTCAATTCTGTTTTTTTGCATGTGTTTTTTTTTACAGTCATTTTCAGTTATTTTACCACCCATCTTCAGTAACCTCCAAAGCAAGCCTAGAAAAAAAGCAAGTCAATCTCCTAAGTTTTTACCACCAGGAAATTTGCATCAGGAAGACAAATTCTGGCACACTTTCCCATCACAGGAAGAGTTGAATTTGAAAAATACCCCTACATTGTGGAAATCAACAAATTCGGAAGGGGAAAATCATATCCATCAAAAAATAGAAATATCCAACAAAAATACAAACTTCCAAAGACACTGGACAAAGAAACAAAAATATGAAGAGGTTAGAAGAACTGGCTTGGATAGGGCAAATGAAACATCATCACCATCAGAGACAGACAAGCAGAAACAAAATCAGGCATTGCAAAGGATAAATAAAAAAGGCAGGTTTTCAGTATGTTTTTTGTATCACTTTCATATTAAACAAGAAATTTCTTTTATGCCAAACATAACATTTTCAAGAACTGCCTGACATCTATAAATGAAGTTAATAAGACAAAAAACTATTAAAACATATGGTTAGGTTAAATAGAGGTAAATGGTTAAGATTATATTAATAAATCCGGTAGGTATGACCAGAAATTGATCATGTAGTTGTGAAATTAATTTCAAGGTATCCAAACATTTCTATTGTACAGATAATTATATAAAACGGGGCAGTGATAAAGTATCTCAAACTTTTAGTTATAAAGTTCTATTTTCCAATCATTTTAAATTTGGTACCTTTTGATGGAACTACTCAAATTTAAAGTTGTTACATTACTTGTAGAATTTAAAATTCACAAAAACTACTTGTTGTAGGTAAATGTTGTTTTTACATTACTAACATTTCTAACTATTGCTTTTTTTACCCATTCTGAGCTTCATAAAAGAAGTATAAACTACTGTCTGCAAAATATCTAACACATTGATGCATTGTACAAAGTATAGCTAGTCAGATCTTCATCCACACTTTTCTATACAAAGATTTCAAAATAAGCAATATTAACTTATAAAATGCTACAAGATGAGAAACTAAATCCTAATGATGTTTTTAAAAACAAATGTAGTTGGATGACTTACAACAACCCACATTTTTCATAAATGCAATTTGAAAATTAATATACTCTACTATGCAGTTTGACAACCACTATTGTATCTGTCCTACCCCAGCTGGCTTGATGAGCCCTGGTATTGAGTGAAAGGCCTTTTCAGTATTGGATATAGTAGATGTAGTGTGGTTGACATTTTTCTGTATTTTTCTTCACTTTCAATTTTAACTTCTTAGAATTAAAATATTTCAAATTCAAGTAATTGTGTAAAATTATTTTTTATCATATTATATTGCTCTTTAGGTCTGTCAAGCAAAAATTGGGACATCCAACAGAAGGAAGCACATGTAATTAGTAACCATACGAAAAAGAAAAAAGTATCTTGGCCCTCTGTTTCTGAGAGTGAAAGTCCATCCAATTCTCAATGTGTACATGGTTTTAAAAATTTAGAAATTAGTAACAAAGAAAAAGCATTATCTTCACAGAAACAATGCAGTAGTGAACATTTTACACTTAGTAGCTCAAACTATGATCTTGTTCCTTTAAAAGATAAACTAAGTGATACTGTATCTAATTCTGTGGATGGAAGGTATCAAGAGACAAACTTTTGGCCAAAAGTGAAACCATCAACATCAAGTTTAACCATCATTCCTGCAGGAATGCAACAAGAACTGAGAAATAGTAGTACTCAGGCCACAGGTACAAATAATGACAAAGATAATTCTGCCTCCCAGACTTCAATGAGATCAAAGTCATATTTCTGTAAGAACTTTGTTACAAGTACACCAAAAGGATATACTCTTCAGTCTCAGAGGAATTGCACTTTAGTACACAGTTTTACTGCAACAAATGAAAATGCCATTACTGGTGAATCAGATCAAGAAATGAAAAATGCTAAATATGATGATTTTAATCAGCCCTTACCATTTTCCTGTCCAGGTCATGTACATCAGCCCGTTGGAGGATTAGCTAAAGTACCTGCAGGACCAGAGCTACAAGTTTGCTGTAAGAGCAGCAAAAATCTGTTGGATGATTCTGAAGACTTACTAAACAGAGTAGAAATTTCAACTGTCTCTTCTAAATCACAATCATTAGCTCAACAAAGTGATTATGAGGAACTGTCCAATCATTCTGTCAAACAGTCAGACAGAACAAGAAGCTTAAATGAAACATCCAAATCCCAGTCACTACTACATAATTCAAGCAGTGAAAATATGCTAAAAGATTCCATAAATCATCAAGTTAATACAAAGACAGATTCTATGAGAAAAGAAAAATCAGTTTTGTATGGAATGTTAGAAGCTTTACTGTCCAACAGAACATAGATAAAAAATTCCAAAATAGTTTTAAGTTACTATTCCCTCATCATTTTTGTTTTATAAAAAAAAAAGAATTCATAAGGTTTGTGTTATGTAATCATTTATTATGTCTCTTGCTTTACTGTACAAGTCCTTTATAAATTGAATGAGAAACATGAAATATATTATACAGGACTTACAAACTTAAAATTTTCCTCAATGATGGGATAAGGAAGACAAAAAAATTTATAAATGCTTGCAAAACCTAATTCTGAGAAGTTATAAATATGTTTGTTATTTCCGATTCACTCTTAAAATGAACATGCTCATTAAATGTTACCAAATGAATACATTATTCATTATCTGTACATATAACATCAGCATCAATTTTTACTGGGATGTCATAGTTAGTAGACTCTTCTCCCAGGTTTAATAGCATTACAATAAATTTTGATACATAGATATTCCCTAAAGTTTCATGAGCTAAGTTTTAAACTAGTGAGTAAATTGTGTTCAGTTGTAAGTAGTAAACAATAATCTGTGATTCAGTTTTTATTTTTTTCAAAGCAAAACTGCTTTTTACATTGTAGTCTTTGAGATTATATTTCATTTAAATTTTCTGTCAGTAATGTTATGAGCACAAAGTGCTTTTGTTTTCATAAAATTATTTGATTTATGTAAAGCGGTAATACAATGGCAATATTCAATAGTTTTTCATGTTGTTATTTTGGTAGCTACAAGGACTTTCAGCAACTACAGAAAGCTTTATTTTGTTGTTAAAATAAAATTAATCTAACCATCTTTAGCTGTTCAACTTCCAGATAATACTGTATAGAATTGTAGTTAGTAATAAAATATCTTGTTTTATATTAATTAGGGTTAATGGCCAAAACTGGTTAAAAAAAATTGTCCTATAAAATAAGAATGCTTATGATTTTTTATAATGCTATACATTAATTTTGAAAAAAATTTAAACAGTTTGTTATTGTTTAATATGTTAAAACCAAAACATAAATAACAATATTGATATCTAAACATTTTATCTTTGTCCTTTAATCTGTTACTTAGAAAATTCCTTCAGTTTAAATGAACACGGTTGTTTTCATTAAAACATTCCATAGAGAGATGTCACATTTTAGGATATTTATTCACTGTCCATCTTTGGTCAGTAATCTTAATCTCATCCATACAATGTTCATTCATGGTATAATGTACTACAGTTTTTTTAAGGAAGATTTTTACATTTGTATCTAGTTATTTTGGATTCGGTGGTGAAGACTTTTTATGAAAAGTTGAAATCAAAGTTTTATTTACAAGGTACAAATGGGAGTTTGCTACAAACTTTTGTAGAGAGTTTGATATTTCAGTATAGCATGACATTTGTGTTATTACTGAATTTATCAACTATATACTGTATGTTGAAAAATATGTATTTTTGTATCTTTTCTTAATTGTTTTTGTTAGAAAAACGTTTTTGACAGTGTATTTTTATCAGTAAAATCACCAAAAACTGCCTTGAACAGTCACATTTTCTACAGTGCCAGGATATACTCTTACATATTTCATATATGTATTTTTTTTGTTTTTGTTTTTACTGGTTTCTCATTTGTATTGTGTGATCATTTACAAACTAATGAAAATAAAGGTGCAGTTTATTTGATCCTAATGTGATCATTTTGTTTGATAAGAAATGACAACCTCTGAAACTTTTACTGGTGTAAACATGAAAAATTAAACAAATATTATGATAGTTTTGATCAGTAGTTAATCTTTATATCTCAGTTATTATGGAGTGAGAAAGGGAGAGAGAATAAGACCCTAGATAAATAATGAGTTTTAATTTGGAATAAGAAATTGAATATATTGGTGTCTAATCTTCCCACCCATATCTATTTTATCTATATGTGACACCAGTGTCATTTTTACATCAGAAATGATGGTCTTTTTGTTTTAGGTAATATAGATAAAATCTCAAGAGAAAAGCATTTTTGTTTTAGACAAAACTATCATGGAATATTGGATTACTTTATTAGTATTACACTAATGAATAAGAAAAGGCACTTGATTAAAAAATTAATGTTGGCAAAATCCTTGATTTCAAATACCAAGAAAGATATAAGATTGAAAACTAATTGGGTTTTAGATATATAAAACTACTCCCAGTAATATATGCCACATACAGTTTTAGTCATTTTCAACTTGTTAAAGTGTTAATTTTTCAGACATAAAAGTTGATCGGACAAACAAAGCAAACAGTTTCGTTGCACATTTCGATTGGTTGTGTGTTACAAACTCTAAGCCAATTCATCATTAAATGTAAGGGACTACAGAAAATTAAACACCACTCAGTTGCCTTGGTAACCCCATTTCATAATGACTACCTAATAACTTATCTGTTCTTATCTTCACTACTTAAACTTGAAAAATGGTATTGTAACAACTATTTAGTATTGCAGGTTTTAGTTCTTTATTTATTCACACAAAATCTTAATGAAGCAAATTATGAGATATGGCAGTCCTGTGAAACACAGATGCACATCAAACATGTTGACAAGCTGAAATTCTAGATCAACGATGATAAGAATTTCATATGATTTTATCTAAGCTGATGAGGTGAAGATAATTATATGCCTATCCATGAGGAAATGCCAACAGGGAGCAGTTAACCTGTTTAACCAGCAGTTGACAAATATTAATGACTGAAAGGATGAGGCATTCCTTGCTTTCTGAGCTGTGGTGTTTCACAATAGGATATATATGCAGTATGTCATGTGATAGCTACTTTATTTTACAGCTAGGACAGTTGGCTGCTTGAAACATTGGCAACCAAAAGGTCATTGTGATCCTTACTGTCTGAGCTTTGAGCAATATTTGGTCACAAGACATTGGTGTATTGATTTGCAATATGCACTTGATTTATCTGGCTGAGTTGAAGCAGAATATCTGTGGATGTGAAACTCACTGAATACACTGAGGCTGTTAATTAACATTCTAGGGAAATTGACAGTTGGTTCGAATGTAAACATTGATTGGAAATTCTGATAAACCAACACAATACACAAGTATTTACAATCGATTTTTTCCAAGCATTCAGGTTATATTTTACAGAAAATGTTAGTGAACATTTTCTGGTACTTTTTGAGCAAACTTGTGCCCTTTCAATAATGTCAACATAACTCTGTGCGGTGTTGCTATGCAAAATTGTGCCTCATAATTTGGTTGGTATATACCAGTCTTCCTAAAGTGCAGAAAAGGAATTATGCTATAATTCAGCATAATAAATTAACATACACATTTCTCCTGAGTTATTCAGTCTATCATTTTACTTGTTTTTTATGTTAATTATTGCTCATGTTTATCTGATGTAACAAGTTTTTCATGACCTCTGAAGTAAACATAGTGATTCAGGGTCATTGTTACATTAGGGTAGCAAAAGCAAGTTTGCTGTCATTTCTTGTGTGCTTGCTCTGTTGGAATGTATATATATATATATGTGCATATATTTTGCACTTTATGATGCTATTTATGCTTATTTCTTTCTGTTCAAGTTGGAAAGTCTAGGTGGTGCCTGAGGTCTGACATGTATTTAAGGTTGTAGAGGGTGCGAATGATGTTGATGTAGGATATGTGGAAACCAGGCTAGCTGATAAATTAAAATGTCATGTTTACATCTAATAATGTATGCATGAAAATAAAAAGCAATGGTAGCAAATTATCATCTACTGGTGAAGTAGAAAATGCTGAGGCTGCAGCAACGATTACCCAGCAATAGGACACACAGAACAATGGTGTCAGACTGACTTCAATGACAGAGAGGCCATTGATGCTGCTCTCAGAGAGGCAGCCAATTTGTACAATGATCTGATGTCTGGCAGTAAGCCAGTAGCCATTGCACAATCATCAGATGCCCTTTGAATGATATCCAGAATACAGACTTCAAAGGCGTCACCAACAGATTTCTGCACTGCAATGCTATGGCTCGAGTATCTTGATAGGTAGACATCATGCATCACTTTCTCAGATGAGAATGCACTGGTGACTGGAGATTGCACTTGCAAGTTTTGCAGGAGATTTTGACCTACCTGGTAGCAGCAGGACATACTCTTTACATAAAATCCATATATATATGTCTATTTGCAGCACATGGTACAGTTAACTACTAAGCATACTGGGGCACACAAGATCTTTGCAAATGGTCTCCTTGTGGTAAGATGCTCAGATCAGTATTGGGGTGGTCTATCCACAAACCTTGTTATAGAACAGGTTCTGATGATCAGCCTGAAAACAACTGGGGAACTAACCAGAGGTTGAGGGATGGAAGAGAGTAAGAGGACCATTTGGCTGTTATAAAGTCCAGTATGCACAAAAATAAACCATGCCATACAGAATTTTACGTCAGTGAACACCAGTAACCAGCACAAGGAAATTACAAGAGCCCGTCAGAAACGAGATGTTTATGATACAAAGAAGCTCATCTGCTTTTTATCTTTAAGATAACCATTTTCATAAGTTATCAGACTTCACAGCATTGATACTGGTGTCTGTGTCGATGACAATGTGAATGTGGACCATGGTGTCAGTGTGGGGCAGAAAATCGTTTAGAAAGAATGATCCAATCATTACCATGCACAATACCAAACAAAGAATCAGCAGTACACATTGGTTCTGAGTCTATAGGAATTGGCTCCAACTTCTATTCCAGTGCAGAATCACAGCTGGTATAAACACTGGTAAATTGGACCAAGTTTTCAAGTATAACTCATGTAGCTACCCACCAGCTCTCTTCCAGTCAATCCAAGTACTACTGGAAGCTGACAAACTTGCACTGGCCAATGCTATGTGGAAAGATATGCCTGATGTGTAAGATAAACTGACTGACGGTTGTTACGTATTAGAGTTTTGAATATTCCAAAGCTGAGTTAACTGATAATTCAAATTTAGTAGCTAAATTGTGCTTTGGATTTACTATTTAAATATATGCCAATATTTTAGTCAGTTTACGATATTTGCCAACAAGATTGACACACACTGTTTTCGTTTTTAACACAAATACGTTTTAATATAAACAACAACACAATTTACAATAACATTTATTACAAATAGTTATTACAAACAAAGATTTATAAACAAAAGTTCCACAAACTTCCAAACAATATAAAATCTTCTTTCTAGTTTGGAACTCCCTTGATATCTTATCGAGGGATTACGATGAGCAAGTTAATTTCAAGTTGATGTAGATATGATTTGCTGGGAAGCTAGCTAGCTTTGTCTGCCTGGCCAGACACGCTGTTTTCCATGATGAATTTATATGTTTTCATAGAAATACTAATGTCTGATGAGTATCCATTAAAGTTAAACGATTTGTAATGTTCGAAATCTATAAATATTCCTGGTCAAATATCTTAAGTTTTTCGATTGATAAGTGTTATAAAAATCACAGTTATAGCTTATGGCACACTGATTATAGCGAACTACTAATAGACACTCTCTTTTTGGGACGTCGCATTGGATGTATTTATAGGCATGGGAAGGTTTTCTAGAAAATTCTGATTACATAA